ACTCGCTGATCATAATACTGGGAACAGATTAACTGAGGTTTTTGCTGGGAACAGATTAACTTGTTTAACAAACTGGGAACAGATGAACACAGACTAACTGATTGTTTACTGGGAACAGATTAACTCTTTACTGGGAACAGACTAACTCTTTACTGGGAACAGACTAACTCCTTACTGGGAACAGATTAACTCTTTACTGGGAACAGATAAACTCTTTACTGGGAACAGATAAACTCTTTACTGGGTACAGATTAACTCTTTACTGGGAACAGATTAACTCCTTACTGGGAACAGATAAACTCTTTACTGGAAACAGACTAACTCTTTACTGGGAACAGACTAACTCTTTACTGGGAACAGATTAACTCTTTACTGGGAACAGATTAACTCCTTACTGGGAACAGATAAGCTCTTTACTGGAAACAGATTAACTCTTTACTTGGAACAGATTAACTCTTTACTGGGAACAGATAAACTCTTTATTGGGAACAGATTAACTCTTTACTGGGAACAGATTAACTCCTTACTGGGAACAGATAAACTCTTTACTGGAAACAGATTAACTCTTTACTGGGAACAGATAAACTCTTTACTGGAAACAGACTAACTCTTTACTGGGAACAGATTAACTCCTTACTGGGAACAGACTAACTCTTTACTGGGAACAGACTAACTCTTTACTGGGAACAGACTAACTCTTTACTGGGAACAGACTAACTCTTTACTGGGAACAGATAAACTCTTTACTGGGAACAGATAAACACTTTACTGGGAACAGACTAACTCTTTACTGTGAACAGATAAACTCTTAACTGGGAACAGACTAACTCCTTACTGGGAACAACAGATTAACTCTTTACTGGGAACAGATTAACTCTTTACTGGGAACATGTAATTACTGGGAACAGATTAACTCTTTACTGGGAACAGATTAACTCTTTACTGGGAACAGATTAACTATTAACTCCTTACTGGGAACAGACTAACTCTTTACTGGGAACAGACTAACTCTTAAATGGGAACAGATTAAGTATCGACAGTGAAAAAGACTCCAAAACACACAAGTTGTTTGAGGGGAACAGAGAAGCTGTGGACTGGAAACAGACTGCTGACTACAACCAAATCAGCTGACTGCCTGGCTTGAAATTAGAAAAGACATCAGGTGTGCCTAAAGGCCACTGGACCTGTTTTTCAGGTGTGCCATTTTCAGTTTCTTGCACCTTGTCTTTTCTACCAATTAATTGTAGAAAAGGGCAGCTAACTAATTAGATAAAAAAGTTGATGACATAAATGTCATTCTGTGTGGCATACAATGATCATCATGTCATATATTCACAATTAACAATGTTAATTAACAAATTAAAATGAAACAATGTAATGATGATAAACTTTGTTATCATGGACAAGTACATGTTCAGCCTTCAATGGCACAGTTTGAAAATGATTAGAATCTGACTGCAGTTTACTTGGTTTTGTCAAAAATGCATTTTAAACTTATAATGCATTTAAATGAGCACTGGATCATAAATGTGTTTCAGGTTTCAAGGAAAAAATAAAATTTTCTATCTTTATGAACTGGCTGACCATATATACTCTTTGCAAAACATGATATTTTTTACCCTTCTCCACTTCAGAACTAGACTGATCCATTAAGCCAGTTCCAACAAGAACTATTTAACAGTTTAGGAGGTCTGCTCCGGAATGGACAGCAGACACACTGACAGAAAGGTGGATGCATATGTATATCTTATATACACCCATATTTCCACCGTGCAGTGGAAACAACCTTAATAAAAGTTTCCGTCCTTTTCACCAAAGACTTTCCACCCATAAAGATCCAGGTAAAATTGGACTTCAATGACTAAAGGGATCGTTTGGTCAGGGCTGCTGACATGATTCACACATGTAATTGTATCCCATTAGTGTAGATCAATGCTCATGATGTCAATCACTGGATTGTATGGCCCAGGCAACAAACAAAAACACCCCTGGCCCAGCTGTTGTTGTAGGCAGTCACAGGCAGTAAATGCAAAGTATGCATCTTGCCTTGCCTAGCCATATCTTGGAGCTGGAACCAATCTTGTAATTTTGTAGTGGAGTTGTACAGACAGTATCAATCAGTTGACAAAGCTTAAGTATTAGAAACATATAATTTACAAATTTTAAACTTATCCCATCCCAAACATGGATGTTTTTCGCAGATTCAACCAGAGATGACAATTTTGAGATGACACTGAGTTATTGACAAGGAGGCCGAACAAGCAATCTGATCCATAAAATACTTTACAGATGCTAGGCTTCATTACAACAAACTTGTGATGGGTCAGCTTCTGGAAACCCTTTCATGGTACTGTCACAAACCTCCCTGGGACTGGGCGATCCTGAGTTTTGTGATTTCTTGCTTTATCATTGCTGAAAGGATAGGGCTTGAAGAATTTCTGAACACATTCAGAAGGATATGGTAGTTCTAAAAATGATGATGCAAGGCCTTGAGGTAGATCTTGAGAGCCCTAACTGGTCATCAAAGCCAAGGATGAATAAAAGAAGATAAATAGAAACCTGTCTGGTTGGCTTGCTAGCTGATTCTAGATGATGAAGTCCCAACTAAGTCCCATAAAGACCTTTCTTTTAAAACACACCCTGTTGAAATCTAAGGCAGGGATCTCAGAGATGTGTGCCACTGTAGCAAGAGCTCCAAGCTGGAGGTCAAAACTTGGCCAACTGGTCACCCTGCTTGAAGGATCGAATAAGAGACTACAGTTCTGCTACTGTAGAAATCATTCCTGTGACAATAGCCATGATGGAGTTGATAGGTGCTAGACAAACAGAATATTTTCAGCAACTCTCATGGAATAATGTTTGGCTATGAGTGAGTGAATTTAGTTTTACGCCGCACTCAGCAATATTCCACCTATATGGTGGCAGTCCGTAAATAATCGAGTCTGGGCCAGACAATCCAGTGATCAACAGTATGAGCATCGATCTACACAATTGGGAACCGATGACATGTGTCAACCAAGTCAGCAAGCCTGACCACCCGATCCCGTTAGTCGCCTCTTACGACAAGCATGGGTTACTGAAGATCAATATTCTAACCCGAATCTTCACGGGTTTGTTTGGCTATGAGAGCAGTATGCGAAATAGCCACTGGCCTGCTAGCCATTGGCTATTAAAAATCCAGGTGGGCCAGTAAATCTCCATTGTCACTGGCCCGACTGGCTAGTGAATTTTCATGGCGTGATTTTGTAAATATGTCACTCTCTCTGACTTGTTAAGTGACAATACACTTTAAATCATGCAAAATTATGACCTGATAAATTTTTTTTATCATATTAGCAGCTTAATGATGAAACCCTTGCCAAGAGTACAATATCTTATTCTCATCAATTTTTGTAATCTTTTGATTACTCTACATTCAAATTTCAGGCAAGTGAATTATTTTTGTAAAACTGTAGACATGCAACGCCATGGTTTGCATAACACCTTTGGCTCCATAACAAAAATGTAGAATATATTCTCTGATGCCTTGCCATTGGACTGACTGACTGAGTTTGGTTTTATGCCGCTTTTAGCAATATTCCAGCAACATCACGGCAGGGGACACCAGATATGGGCTTCACACAGTGTACCCATGTGGAGATTCGAACCCGGGTCTTCGGCGTGACGAGCCAATGTTTTAACCACTAGGCTACCCAACCGCCCCCCTTGCCATTGGAACACCCAAATGACTACTACATCAGTGAAGTTTCATCAGAACACAGCTGAAGCGGAACTAGTTTTGACACTTGATGTAGTTCCATTGTAGAGTAGATACCTCGTATACAATTGACATCTCTCAGTGAAGCAGTCTGTTCCACACCACATCTATCAAATACATCACATATCATGATGGTGAGAACAACAGACAAAATGTCCATTTTCAGATATGGGTACAGTCTGTTCTACCATCACAGATCTAGAGGTTGTTTCCCCAACTGACTTTGGTCTATATATGTGATGTTGTGTATCAGGTGTAGTGCCAGTAGTGTTGGGAATTGGTTAAAATCCCATAATTGATGATTGGTTCATTACAACCAATCAATCATCGAAAATATTTGGTTAGCGTCATTTATCAAATTTTCCTGGTTATGTTTGCTAATGCACAAAAAATAAAAACAAAACATGTAGTTCTTTCGGTTTTTGCACAAAGTGCATGTGCAAATTTCACATCTTTAAAGGATGACAAGTATGTTAGGGACATAACTTTCCTGGAATCTTTAAAGGTCACATGCAACCAAAAAATCAAACATAATTAAAACACAATTATCACTTATTCATGACATATAATATACATTGCTGGTTATGAAAAAACATATAAACAAAATTATAAGCGTACAATCGCAATTCAAAAGTGCAATATCGTGTACTTGGGTTTACTTCCCAAGAAACGAAGCAGCCGGGATACCGAACCCAGTCAGAGAAGGTGGGTGTGCACTTAAATGTAACGGGTGGTTCATTTGCAGATGCCCTCACAGCTCATTGTGTGTGTGTATATATATAGAGATGTTGGGTTTTGTAAATACATGTCCATTTTTTTGTGTATAACATTTTGCAATCAACAGACATCACAACATGTCATGTGTACAAGTATCACACCTGCCTGTCTGTGTAATTACATAATGTGACAGTCTTTTTTCATCGCGTTATTTTTCAACTTTATAAGTTGAATTTGCATTTTTGATGATTTGTTTCGGTAAGTCCATACCGAAAGGTATCAGAATCTGCAAAGTTGTGTATTACGTTGCATGTGACCTTTAAGATAAAATCAATCATGACTTGGAAAGAGCTTGTAACAGACAAAACCAATCTTGTGAAAAATATTATTAATGCAAACAAATGTTCCAAAAATGTTTGTGTTCGATTATGAGAAAATATGATCGATTGCTTGGTCATTTTGTCATTGCGACCAATCTTTGATTATTTCAATTAATCGCACCACCACTGAGTGCCAGAAGACCTACCTTGTTCGGCCTCCACGTCCAGGTGGTATATCCAACAGGTCCGTACAGTCCTTGTCATATGCTCCTGAAATAGTGAGTGAGTTAGTGTGTTTCTGTGTGCACACACCTGTTCAGGGTAGAAGGGAGTCATACAGTGTGAGTGAGTGAGTGAGTGCACTCATGTGTGGACGTACTGTACTGCATGTGAAGGGTTGGGTAGTTGTACTATATGTGTGTGTGTGTGTGTGTGAGAGAGAGAGAGAGAGTGCTGAGACTGAGAGAGAGAGAGAGAGAGAGAGAGAGAGAGAGAGAGAGAGAGAGAGAGAGAGAGAGAGAGAGAGAGAGAGAGAGAGAGAGAGAGAGAGAAACCAGGCATATGCAGGTAGATAGGACCCAGCTGAAAAAGTATGGGCAAGGTAGAGGGGGTCTGATGAAAATGTAATTGCTGACTTTGCTGAAATAGTTAATTGTTTATGAGCTTAACTATACCATGTAAAGTTGCAAGAAAGCGTGAGTACAAACCGATATATCTAAGTGATGTTTCTCTGGACGAGTGTATAAAATTATAATATTTTGTCGAATGACACACCATGGTTCAACTTTTTTTAACTTCTTATCTTGACACTAACTCCGGCAGTATCAATAATTACACCTGCATCCTACTGGCACTTTATCGACACTGGAGTAGGTGTAAACAATATGTCACACTAAGGCATTAGTAGCCGTTCAAACATTGTAACAACTGTGGAGAAAATCCAAAAGTAAACAGTGGCGCATGCTACCTGACTCATCAACTTGGCTTACTGGAGTTATTGTGCATGCACTGTTATGACAGACGACCTAACTGTACAGCACTGGGTCGTGTATACCCAACATGCACGTGTGTGTATGAAACCCATGTAGGTCTGTCTGACCTGCACACACAAATGGTACTCACACAACAACACTCGCTCTCTTTGACATGTTAATGACAACGCACCTGTCACATGCCGGCCGCCATCTTCTCCCTAGCTACCAGTGGCGTCCCCTCTCTGTGACGTCACAAAGCAACACGTTCGATCTTGAGCGGGGTAGATTTTCCCGCGCTTGTGTTGCGACGCGACTTAATTAGCGGCGGGTACCGGAGATCAATAGATCAGTAGTTGGCTTCAAGTGAGTGGTTTGAGCTGTGTGTTTACTCGTTCACCTAGTGCCAAAGCAAAGATCAACTTACTTGTGCGACCTTTCATGACGGTAACGATAATCTTCATAAACAAAGGATTCCTTTTTATATCTTTTGCTTATCCGAGGCATCTATTTCATAATGGAAATATTCCAGCGTAACAACTTACAATACAAGTCTGTTGTGATTGGTGGGTTTTTAAACGTTGAACATATTACAGGTGTTGGAAGACACGGAAAGGTGTAGCCATTAGCACACCAACCTGTTCAGCTCACTTAGATAACTGTGGTCGTCACGTACGTGGGACGAATGAGTTATCCATCTTTCAAGTGTACATTTCTCTTGGGCGGCATTTTACTAGTATACTGTAGCGCCCACAATATATCTTCTATACTTGTGTAAAGCGGCGAGACCCCCACATTTCTCTTCTACAAATGAAGTGCCATCTGAACACAATGTATACTAATTCATGCCTATGTAAGGCAATATATTCTTAATTTACTTTTTTTCGCAACAATGTTTTTACCAAACTCTTAAATCATCCCAAAATACATAAAGTCCGCTGTCTGAACTTGTTTCCCTCTGAATTAATCAGAAAGAGATAGCTGTATCTGTGTTCTTCGTTCTTCATAGTTGATAATATCATATTTATAGTGTCCTAAGTGTCAGATTGTACAAGCTGTTTGTGAAGCAATGCTGACCGCTTTCAGTTTCAATTTGTTTACATCCTGAACTGGTACCTGCAGATCAAGGTGAGCTTCATGTTGCGCTGTGGCTCTATATAATGTGTTATGATGGGCTAGCACTATTCAGCTTCATTGCCGATATTGATGTTTTATCTAATTTAGATTGACAGTTCCCATCAATAACTCAATACACGTGCCCCCTTTAAAATTGTAAGGCGAGACTCAAACTGTTTGTCTGTCTGTCTGTTTCAGCCTATACATGTTTTAGTTCTGAAATAATTAATAATGTTTACGATACGAATGCACACGAAAGCGAAAAAGAAGACCTGTATAAAGATGTAGTTTTGTTGACTGAATTAACTTTAAGAACCCGACGTAGGACTATGATATGAATGAAGTTTGTCATTAAACGCAAAACACTTTTGGTCTGTGTTAGTCAGCAGAAGACACTTGGATCAAGAAGCCTTACGTAAACATGTTGAGCACGCAAGCATTGGCTCGAAGTACGGAGATTCTTGCTTGATGACCTCATTAGTATATTTAGGTGATTGTGATACCCGGTTTCGCGAATTCATTAGTGTCATGTATTTGATATGATAATACGACAGAGTAATACATTGCCAGGTGATACAGCAGTGTAATACATGGTCTGGTGATGCAACAGTGTAATACATTGCCAGGTGATACAACAGAGTAATACATGGCCTGGTGATACAACAGTGTAATACATGGTCTGGTTATACAACAGTGTAATACATTGCCAGATGATACAACAGTGTAATACATGGTCTGGTGATACATACATGGCCTGGTGATACAACAGTGTAATACATGATCTGTAATACATGGTCTGGTGATACAACAGAGTAATACATGGTCTGGTGATACAACAGTGTAATACATGGCCTGGTGATACGACCGAGTAATACATTGCCAGGTGATACAGCAGTGTAATACATGATCTGGTGATACAACAGAGTAATACATTGATCTGGTGATACAACAGTGTAATACATGATCTGGTGATACAACAGTGTAATACATTGCCTGGTGATACAGTGTAATACATTGCCTGGTGATACAACAGTGTAATACATGGTCTGGTGATACAACAGAGTAATACATGGTCTGGTGATACAACAGAGTAATACATGACCTGGTGATACAACAGAGTAATACATTGCCTGGTGATACGACAGAGTAATACATGGCCTGGTGAGGCGACTGTGTAATACATTGCCTGGTGATACAACAGTGTAATACATTGATCTGGTGATACAACAGTGTAATACATGCCTGGTGATACAACAGAGTAATATATTGATACCGTGATACAACATACATTGACAGAGTAATACATGATCTGGGTAATACAATACAAAGTGTAATGTTTGATCTGGTGATACAACAGTGTAATAAATTGCCTGGTGATACAACAGTGTAATACATGATCTGGTGATACAACAGAGTAATACATGATCTGGTAATACAACAGAGTAATACAACAGAGTAATACATGATATGGTAATACAATAGAGTAATGTATGATCTTTTGATTCAACAGATTATCAAATTGCCTGGCGATACAACAGAGTAATACATGGTCTGGCGATACAGCAGAGTAATACATGGTCTGGCGATACAGCAGAGTAATACATGGTCTGGTAATACAGCAGAGTCATACATGGCCCGGCTTATACGACAGGGTAATACATGGTGGAGAAATCGCCATGGTGTGGGGAGCCATGACCTACACGGGTAGAGGAAAATCTAGTGGTTGTTCAAGGCAATCTTACAGCAAATCGCTACATCGACCAAATCCTGCGACCTCAAATCCTTTCACTTTTTAACCGCCAAAGGGAGCTGTTTCAACACGAAAACTCCACACCCCACACAACTTGTGTAACGGGTGCCTATGACGCCAATGCACACGTCAATGTTCTTCCCTAGCCTTCCAGATCGCCTGATCTGAACCCGATCGAGCATCTATGGGACGAACTTGATCGCGTACGTAAACCTCACCATCGTCCTCAAACACTTGCAGAACTTGCCAACGCCTTACAGGAGGAATGGCGAAGAATTCCCCAAGCAAACATCCGACACCTTGTGCAATCCCTTCCAAGGCGGTGTCGAGCAGTGACGGCTCCAAGGGGAGGTGTCACCAGGTACTGACCTGAACGCCTGAATCAATACTGACAATGAGAACAATGCATAAAAAGTTTATGTTCATCCGTGTTGAATTTCCTTCATCTATACGTTTAATACATTTCCTTATTTTCGGCCTATGCGTTACTTTTTTGAAGAGTGTATAAATTCATGTGGATGACATTGAACGCCCCCTTGTGTCCACAAAAATGAGTGAACTGAATTAATGCTGACAATGGCAACAATGCATATGTTGGTCCGTGTGTCGAATTTCCTTCACCTATGCTCAAGCTTAATAGAGTGAGTGAGTTTAGTTTTACGCCACACTCCAGCAATATTCCACCTATATGTTGGCGGTCTGGAAATAATCGAGTCAATCCAGTGATTAACAGCATGAGCATCGATCTGCGCAACTGTGAACCGATGACATGTGTCAAACAAGTCAGCGAGCCTGACCACCTGATCCCGTTAGTCGCCTCTTATGACAAGCATGGGTTACTGAAGGTTCATTCTAACCCGGACCTTCACGGGTTCAAGCTTAATGGCCTTACAGTACAACCAGAAATTATTGAGAATTTAAAGATTGTAATTTATTTTTTTTTCACTCATTACTCACGTTTTAAATGTGAATATTAGCAGAACATAACTCCAGATTGAACCAGATTTTGTCAAGTCACCATGGGCAGCAATGCAGGCTTCAATGCGGCGGGGCATACTACTGATCAAAGAAGTTAGAAAGTAAGTCCATGCTGTCCCAAAATCGGACGACCTCTTCTTTCATTTCAGCAATATTTGTCAGATTTTTCTTATTGACACTTTCCTTCATAAGTCCCCAAACATTTTCTATTGGATTTAGGCCAGGGCTATAGCTTGGCCAATCTAATAATGTCATATTTTGGGTCCGAAACCAGGCCCGTGAATGCTTTGAACGAATGTTTCGGGTCATTGTCCTGCTGGAAAATCCAAACATTTCCATAGAACACGTGAGAAGATGGAAATAATGTCCCTCGAGAATATCTGTGTACCGCTCACTGTTCATATTCCTTTCAAATACACAGAGGGGCGTTGCCCCTAACACAGACATGCCACCCCACACGTTAAATTTCGGACTGTACTTTGGGCGCTGATACAAAGGTATTTCAGTTTGTTTGGTCCAAAATTTCAGTGTATTAGGAAACAGCCACAAAGAACTTTCATCTGAGAAAATCACATTGTCCCAGTTAAAATTTCTATGCTGTAAGCACCAGTTCAACCTTCGCTCCTTTTGTTCAGGTTTCATGATCGGTGATGGAATTCCTCGACTTTTCTGCCAACCCATTGCATGCAGCTTTTTTTAATTGTCTCAATCATATCCAGACTGAAGTTTTCTAAACTCCTTCGTTTGTTTTTAGAAACAAGAATACCAAGCCGCCTCCTGTCATCGACAGTCAATTTTCTGGGCCTACCTGCGCCTCCCTGGTGCTCAATGCCATATCCATTTGCAATATTTTTCAAAACACGATAAACAGTGCACAAAGGGATGCCTGTTCTACTTGAAATCGCTTTAGCTGATCTGATGTCCTTGTTATAATACTCTAAAATCAACTTCCTCTTCTCAAAATCATCCATACTGAGGATCACTGAAAATGTCGTCTGCTAGCAAGTAAGCAAAGGGGATAACTCTTCACAAACGAATTAAAAAAGGATTTACGGAGTTGTCCCTCTTGAATGAAACCAAGCACTTGATAGCTGGTCAAGGTTGTTTATAGTAGATATCCAATTGAACATATTCCTAAAATTCTCAATAATTTTTGGTCACACTATATGTCCCCTTCAATTTTGTTATTGGAGGGGGGGGTGAATGACAACAATTATTGACATGATTATATATATACACTTAAATACGCTTAATACATTTCCTTATTTTTTGCCTATGCGTTTCTTTCTTTTTTTTCTTCTTTTTTTTGGGTTTATATTGCCTGGTGATACAGCAGAGTAATTCATGACCTGGTGATACAGCAAGTAATACAAGACTCTGTGTTTGTTACTGG